CTTAGAACTGATTAAACTTTGGTGACATTCCGAATTACCGTCTGGACGCAACAGCGGTGTAAGTACATCCGAAAGATAATCATGATATTTTTGGACTTGGCCGTGTCCCGGGTGTCACTGTCCTCAACCAAAGTATACATATTATATACGCACCTTGGCGGAGGTCTGCACTCTCTGAGTGCTTTTCTAGTTATTATCATTATATTTACTGTTATTGTAATTTCTGTTATTATTATTATTATTGTTATTATTATCATTATTATTATTATTAATATTATTATCATCATAATTATTATTGTTATTATCATTATTATTATTATCATTATTATCTTTATTATTACTATAACTATTACTGTTATCATGATTATCAACATTATAATTGTTATTGTTGTTATTATCATTATCATTATTATCATTGTCATTATTATTATTACTATTACTATTATCATGATTATCAACATTATAATTGTTATTGTTGTTATCATCATTATTATCATTATTACTATTACTAGTGGTAGTTGTAATAGTATTGTACTCTCTTTATCGTCATTACAAATATCTTTATTATCATTATCATTACTATCATTATTATTATCATTGTTATTGTTATTAACATTATCATTGACATTATTGATCTTATCATTATTACTATTATCTTTATTACTATTGCCACTATTAATATAATTATCATTATCATTATTATTGTTATCATCTTTGTTTTCATTTGCTTCATCACTACTATCATCATTACATTACCATTATCCTTATCATTATCAATTTACTTTTATTACTATTACCATATCATCGGTAACATATATATATATATATATGTGTATGTATATATGTGTAGGTGTGTGTGTGTGTGTGGTGTGTGTGTGTGTGTGTGTGTGTGTGTGTGTTTGATATATATAGACGTATAGATGACTTTTTTTCGGAATTTCGGAATTAGTATATTGATGTATATTTTTGAATATTTGGAATATGAACATGTTTTATATATCTTATCTTGTTTGTGCCGATCAATATATAAAATTCATATCTACCAGTTTATTCTATTACTGATCACCAAACCAGAGGGAACTCAATGAAGATACACTCAACGCGGATGTTTAATGTTTTATTGATGAAAATCCATACAGTAGACACATTAGTTTCACACAACACTGAGTACTCAACAGCTCGCTGGGTCGCCGTGCTTTGTACAGGATATGTCTGCGTTACTGACTCGGATGTGGAAGGTAACGGCGATTAACTGAGGTTCTGGTAGGGAGGCTGTGTTACCTTATACCGTAGGATGAAGGGTCGTGACTCCCTGTAAGATGCGAGATAGCCACCTTACCGAAAGGGAGACAGTACTGGCAGGGTGATGCGTTACCTCGTTACTGGGAAATACCTGTGGCCCTGTCGCGTGAAACCTGTCACCCTTAACGAGGAGACTGTATCACGCTGCAAATGACTCGAGTGCCACTTGACAGGGAGGGTTTTACCAAGCAAGGGGGGGGGGGCAAAGGTCATTTTCCTAGCTATGAGGATATATCAACTGACTTGAGAATTGTTTTCCTTAGGAAAAAAAGGGGAGCTCAGACGCCAGAATATATCTTGGCTGCAAAACTATGCTATCGGATTTTTTTTAAAAGCTGTATAACAACTACTGACAGTTTGTTCTTCTTCAGCATCTTTAATACGACTGATATGCAGTTGATACGTGATGTAATCTTTGTATCAAGATCAGCCACGAGACAACTGAAGAACTTTTTAGACAAGGACATTTCATCGGGAAGTGAGGTATAGCTGTAGTTCCAAGGATAAATCAGTGTAGTTTAATTTATATTAATGTATGCGTATGAGTGTGTGTGTGTGTGGATAGATAGAAATAAATAGATAGACAGAAAGTTCGACTAATTGATGGATAGACAGATATATCGATAGACATACAGGTAGATAGATAGACAGATACTGTATATACCTATTTGGTGTTCACCTCCCTTTACTGTGTGTGCATGAAGCAACTAACAAATGACCCGCAGCTTTACTCTAACACATAACAACAACAAAAAACTAGAAGTGAATAAATTATACTGAGGTATTGAAGTAAAAGCCACCATACAGCAGTATATAATCTACAATGTCTATGGCAGCGGTCTTAATGGACTCTCTCTCTCTCTCTCTCTCTCTCTCTCTCTCTCTCTCTCTCTCTCTCTCTCTCTCTCTCTCTCTCTCTCTCTCTCTCTCTCTCTCTCTCCAGCTACAAATGACACGTTCGATAGGTGGCCTTCCGTCAAGATTCTCCACTTTACAGAGGTGCGTTTGAAATGTCTGAAAAAAATCCTCACAAAGGTGCCATGCCTTTAATATAACCTTTTACTCGTTCATCAACACAAAAGGGACAAGAATCCTCCTCAGCATCCGACCGAACTTTATTTACGTCACTGGATCCTCTCCTTGGCCGTCCGCGTGACAGCCGTCTTTCACACACACACAAAAAAGGAAAAACAAATCA